GTCTGTCATGTGCCATTGCCAAAAACAACACACAACACATAGCAAGTCTTCAATAAACACCAACTGAGTGAGTGGACAAATGGACGGACGGATGGATGGGTGGGTAGATGGGTGGGTGGGTGGAGGGGTGGATGGGTGGATGGTGGATGGATAGATAGGTGGGTGGATGATTGGATGGATGGGTGGGTAGGTGAATGGATGGACGGATGGGTGGATGAATGGGTGGATGTTTGGATGGATGGATGAATGGATGGATGGCTGGGTGGATGGGTGGATGGATGGATGGATATATGGGTGGATGGATGGGTGGGTGGGTGGCTGGATGGTGCATCAGTGGGAGGATGGAACACTAAATGTGCAACATAAAGGGTTTCAAGGGCGGGTTCTGCCCCTCCCTCAGTCTAAGTCCCCTCCCTCTTCAAGTCTTAGTTACCTTATATATAAAGGAGGTCACTGAATTAACCTACCTCTATTTTCCAAGCCAGGCTTCAGCAATACATGAGCCGAGAACTTCCAGATGCTCAAGCTGGTTTTAGAAAAGGCAGAGGAACCAGAGATCAAATTGCCAACATCCTCTGGATCATTGAAAAAGCAAGAGAGTTCCAGAAAAACATCTATTTCTGCTTTATGGACTGGACATGGAACAACAGACTGGTTCCAGATAGGAAAAGGAGTACATCAAGGCCGTATATTGTCACCCTGCTTATTTAACTTATATGCAGAGTACATCATGAGAAATGCTGGGCTGGAAGAAGCACAAACTGGAATCAAGATTGCCAGGAGAAATATCAATAACCTCAGATATGCAGATGACACCACCCTTATGGCAGAGAGTGAAGAGGAACTAAAGAGCCTCTTGATGAAAGTGAAAGAGGAGAGTGAAAAAGTTGGCTTAAAGCTCAACATTCAGAAAACTAAGATCACGGCATCTGGTCCCATCACTTCATGGCAAATTGATGGGGAAACAAGAGAAACGGTGTCAGACTTTATTTTTTTGGCCTCCAGAATCACTGCAGATGGTGACCGAAGCCATGAAATTAAAAGACACTTACTCCTTGGCAGGAAAGTTATGACCAACCTAGATAGCATATTAAAAAGCAGAGACATTACTTTGCCAACAAAGGTCCATCTCGTCAAGGCTATGATTTTTCCAGTGGTCATGTACGGATGTGAGAGTTGGACTGTGAAGAAAGCTGAGTGCCGAAAAATTGATGCTTTTGAACTGTGGTGTTGAAGAAGACTCTTGAGAGTCCCTTGGACTGCAAGGAGATCCAACCAGTCCACCCTAAAGGAAATCAGTCCTGGGTGTTCATTGGAAGGACTGATGCTGAAGCTGAAACTCCGATACTTTGGCCACCTCATGCGAAGAGTTGACTCATTGGAAAAGATCCTGATGCTGGGAGGGACTGGGGGCAGGAGGAGAAGGGGACGACAGAGGATGAAATGGCTGGATGGCATCACCGACTCGATGGACATGAGTTTGAGTAAACTCTGGGAGTTGGTGATGGACAGGGAGGCCTGGCGTGCTGCGATTCATGGGGTCGCAAAGAGTTGGACACGACTGAGCAACTGAACTGAACTGAACTGAACTGAAGCTCCTTCCAGGTCTCTTTCCCTGAGCCAACTGTGTTCAGGTGAGGAATTCTGACTGTGGTGGCAAACAAAAGATGTTATCCACATAGTTTTGCTACAATTTGATTCAAGTGCTTTTTGTCTCTCCCCTAAGGTGTGGACAGGCTGCTGAATTTCTTTCTAAATGTTCAAAATGATGCTTGCATAAATTCAGAGTGGCAAGGAAGTCAGCACAGGACTTCAATCTGAGTTTTGCCTCTTCTTGGCTGCGTGATCTTGGATAATTGACTTAACCTCCCTGAACTCAGTTTCCCCCTGTATAAAACAGGAATTGTAGCACACTTCATTGAGTTGTAAAAAGGGTTAAATGAGATGACATGCACTTGGCACATCACTTGCCAGGTAGTGAGCCCTCCAGAAACGGTTGTGGCGGTTGTTTGGGGATTGCTGTGTGTTGGCCCATAATCAACTATAAACCCTCACTTGGTGTACATGGAGGAAACAGAGGCTTCTAACATCAGGTCAGAAAGAACTTCAGGAGCAGCCCTTTAAGGGGAGCCCTTCTCATCTTCACTCTTCTTCCTCATCTCAAATTCAAGCATAACAGCTAGAGATCATGCAGCCACTTTGGACCATGAGGAAACCTCGAGGACAGAAGCAGTAAGTTAGAAGGAGCCTGCATCACCAATTACCAGGCTACCATGAGAGTAGTCCAATGTTACCTACCTTGGGCTTCTTTCTCGTAAGAGTATATATACCTCTAGTTTCTTTAAACCATTGTTATTTGGGTTTTCTGTTTCATGTAAACAAACTTAGTCTTATCTGTCCCTGTTTTGCAGATGACTAAAAACAAGGCTCAAAACAAGGGAGAAGTTCACACAACCGGCAGATGTTGAGTCAGGATTTGAATCCAGGTCTCCATAGCTCCCCTACTGTTGACTCTACCAAACCCTTTGCCACTCATAGTAAGAGTACCTGAGATGCAAGAGACGTGGGTTCAACCCTGTGTCAGGAAGATCCCCTGGAGTAGGAAATGGCACCCCTTTCCAGTATTCTAGCCTGGGAAATCCCATGGACTGAGGAGCCTGAGAGTCAGACATGACTGAGCCTCTGAGGACACACACTCCACCATTTCCCACTTTGTAGCCATATGTTTGTTTTCTGTGTCTATGAGTGTTCTTCTGTTTTGTAAATGAGTCCATTTGTAGCAATTTTTTTAGATTCCACATATATGTGATTGCATATGACTTTAGTCTTTCTCTGACTTCCTCCACTTAGTATGATAATCTCTAGGTCCATCCATGTTGCTATAAATGGCATTATTTCATTCTTTTTTATGGCTGATTAATATTCCTGTGTGTGAGTGTGTGTGTGTGTGACATCTTCTTTATCCATTCTTCTGTTGATGGACACTTGGGTGTTTCAATGTCTTAACTACAGTAATAATACAAGCAGGTCTTTTAAAGGATAACATTTTCAGACCCATTGTTAACACTTTTCTGCACAGAGAATGGTATCTTTCTCCCCATTTCTCTTTTTGAAGTGACCCAGGAAATTTTTTTTGTGCCTGAGGCCCAGATTTGTTGAGAAAGTTCTAGCTTACCATGAATATAAATTCAGTAAGTTTCCTAAGAGACAAACTTGAGTTAGGCAAGAGCCAGTGGGCAAGGGGTGGTGGCATGGGGCCAGGTTTGGAGAGTCCTGAGAGTTCTAGACCGGTAGCGAATAGGCCCAGCCACTGGTCCTGAGCTGGCCACTCACTCAAATTCCAACTTGGTCAAGCATCTCCCAGAAAGGAGCCCCAGTTTTCTCTTTTCCACATGTCTCCATCCTCAACACGCCACTCAGGGTAGCTGGGCCACAAGGTTTCTCAAAACCTTGCCTTGAAAATCACGTAACATCACCTTTGCCACATTCTAGTGGTTGAAGAAAGACAGCCCAGCCTAGATTCAAGGGGAAGAGAAGCAGACACCACCTCTCAATGGGAAGAATGGCAATGTCACAATGCAAAGGGGTGTGGAGACAGCAAATGGTGGAAATCTTAGCCAGCTTTTGCATCAACCAGGCCATCTCATCCGTGTGCCCTTCACTCATTCATTCATCCATCCATCCCTTCATTGTATACATGACCACCCACTAGGCTCGCAACATTTCCCAGATATGGAACACAGAGGGGACCTTGTCTTCATGGGGCCTCAAGACTGATGGGGAAACAGATAAGCAAGCCAACATGTGCCACAAAGCTACATGGAATGAGTGTTTACAGATCTTTATTTACAACATACTCTTTTCTGATAAAGGATTGAATCAGCCTGCCCAAAAAGGCACAAGCAATAAAATTATGCATTTTAACCTCCAAAGAAAACTGAAACCAAAAGGAGAAAGAAGATGGTGTTTACTGAATAGCCAAGCACCTCACACATATTCTCTCCCTCCATCTTTTTCATAAGCTTGAGGAGAGATTATTATACCCCTTTTATAGTTAAGTAAACTGAGGTTCATGGCAGATAAATAACTCACTCAAGTTCACACAGGTCCTGAATGGCAGGGCTGAGTCTCACTGCTGAGTCTGGCCTCAAAGTCTGTGTGCGACAACAGCAGCTGTCAAAGAGCTTTGGATTTGATGGAGCTTCCTAGCAGCCTGGGGGAAAAGGGAAACTGAACATATTGCCCAGTGGATAACTAGATAAGAAAAAGCTAGGTATTTCATTGAGGGGAAGCAAAGCCCTGCTTAGCATTGAATTAATTTTTCTTTGCTTGAGGAAGAGTTGGTGAAAGAGAATTTATGGGGTGGAATTGATGGGGCTCAGCTTGGACCGTCTGAGTTGGATGATCCCTTTAAAAAAAAAAAATTATGTATGTATTTGGCGGTGCTAGGTCTTAGCTTCTGCTCACAAGATCTTTGTTCTTCATTGCGGCATGCAGAATCTTTAGTTGCAGCATGTAGGATCTAGTTCCCTGGCCAGGGATTGAACCAGGGCCCCCTGCGTTGGGACTGTGGAATCTTAGCCACTGGACCACGAGGGAAATCCCCTGAATAGCCCCTAAGTTTATAGGCAGGGAGGTTCTGTCCTCCAGTAACCATTTTCATCTCTGTGTGTGTGTGTTTCTCTGTGTCACTGTCTTCCTCTTTTCACCCACCCTCTCATCCCTCTGTCTCCTTTGCCTCTATTCCTCCCTTGCCTACACTCGAAATGCAAAGAATCCCCACCACTCAAGCTCTGCTGGTTTTAGGAAGTGCTGCTACGTCAAGAGCCTGCGCACCAGACCCCAGCGTGGCAGGACTTCCTCCCCACGCTGTGCTGGGCGGAGCGAACGGGAAGGGGCCTGGTGTGTCTGAGGTGACACATCCCTGCCTGAGCAGCCCAAGTGGCAGCGGGGTCAGCGGGCTGCAGGAGCGCAGGCCACCCTCCCCCGGGGGCTTCAGAATGGACTTGTGCCACCCAGGTAAGCACTTGGGCCGACCTGTCTGGGCCTCACTTTCCTATTCTGTAGAATGGGGGTAATAGTGCCTGCCTCACAGGAAGCAGCATGTATACATAGATATAACACAGGTGGGACCTGCAGAAGCAGGCGACAGACATTTATGAGCTCAGCCTAGGCGCCAAGCTGTGTTGCAGGTACTGGGAGTCCAGCAAACCAAGCAGGCATGGCCCCTGCCCTCATGAGCTTACACTCCAGAGAAGGAGACAGACATATATGAATGTGCTATCAGGTGATGACAAGCAGGATGAAGAAGAGTAAAGTGAGATAAGGAAGATGGGAGAGGGTGGCCAAGAAGGTCTCAAGAGGAGGCACTGTTTGAGCAGAGACTTGTAGCAGAGAAGGAGGTGATCCATGTGGGTTTCTGGGGAAAGAACATTCCAGGCAAAGGAATCATCAGTGCAAAGGCCCTGAGGTGGGACTGAGAAAGGTGGTTTGTGTTGAGGATGATGATGTTGGTGAGGATGATAACTGTCTGGGTGACATAATAACCCTGCAGCCCGTTTGGCCTCTGGTGGGTGATGGTGGCCTCTGGGGAGGCTGAGGACACCAGCTTTGCCAGTGGAGGGAGGCAGGGGATGAGCAGCAGGGGCTGTGGCTGAGAGTCTGCCTGGTAGGCAGGCAAGGAGGCTGAGCAGCTGGTATGAGAGCAGAACCAGGCTGTGTTGTGCTGTGTTTCTGTGACTCAGGAAGGGCTGGGACTAAGCCTCTGTGCCCTGCATCTCAGAATGTTCCAGCATGGCCTGAACTCCAGAAGACATAGGCTGCCTGGAGCTGTCCAGTTCCCCAGGTCCAGATGACATGAACCCTGTTAGCAACAGAGCCGTTTCTTCAAACAAAACCTAAGACAGAGCATTCTGACCCCGCCCCCTGGGCCTCCCCTTGCCCCAAGGGTTCTGGGGAACACAGTTAGAGAACCACTGATCTGTTTCAACAGCCCTCATTTACCTGTGTGCTCAGTTGCTAGGTCGTGTCTGACTCTTTTGTGACCCCACGGACCACAGCCCGCCAGACTCCTCTCTGTCCATGGGATTTTCCCAGGCAAGAATACTGGAGTGTGCTGCCACTTCCTCCTCCAGGGGATCTTCCCGACCCAGGGATCGAACCCATGTCTCCTGAGTCTCCTGCATTGGCAGGCGGGTTCTTTACCTCTGAGCCACCTGGGAAGCCCTCATTTACAAATGGAACAAAAGGAGGGATGCAGTCTTGCTGAGGCAGGATGACTCCACACCTGCCGGCTGCCTGTTCAGCACTCTCACCACAACCCCTGTCCCTGTGCTTCTCCTGGGGGCTTTTGGGACCAGGTGGCTCACGGACTGCATGTCCTCAGTGAAAACTTCTTAGTGGCAATTAGGGGAGCAAGAGGAGCCCCAGGAGGATCAGTGCCAGGCTCAAGGTCACTCAGCAGATGCGAGGGTGACAGGAGACAGTGGAGTAATTCCCGCCCCCCAAGTACCTGTCTTTGCACCATTATTCTTGGGATCTTCAGATACAAAAATCTTTGGAATGGTTTGTCCCCACCATGCAAGAAGGTTGTCCTCAGGAGACTGAAGCTCACAGAGGTGAACTGGAGGACAGGATGGAATTGCCCAAAGTCAGGCAGCCAATAAGTGGCAGAATAGGGACAAGATCTGAGAGGAGCAAGAGCCCCAGTTTAGCCTGGGCTGTGGGGGAGGGGGGGAGGGCGGGGCCTCCCAGGGAAGGCCCAGAGGTGAGTCTCTGCTTCAGGCTGGTCCTGGGAGGACAGGGATCCTGCGGAGTCACTGCAGGCCGTCTCTTGGGAGATCTGAGGATTCCACTGATCAGTTCATCTATTCATTCATTCATACAATAAGCAGTCCTTGGGTATGCAGGTCCTGGGTTGTGCGATGCTGGAGACAGCAATGACCAGGCCACAAGCCCAGGCCTGAGGGAGCTGCTGGTCTGGGATGTGGGGGAGGGGAAGAAAAATCCTGCAGGACGGTGACCCAGGGCAGATGTGCAGAGGGGCGCAGATCTGCAGCCTGGGACGGAGACACTTTCCACCCAGGGCAAGGGAGATCTGGGAGGACTTCCTGGAGGAAATGAAGGGAAGGAAGGTCATTTCTCTGCTACCCAGACTGGGTCTTTATTGGAGCTCCTTCGCAGCCTGGTGACCTTCCCTCTGTGAGCTCAGGTTTGTCATCTCTAAGTGGGCACCGTCATCCCAGCCTCACCTAGGGAAGCGACCTGGTTAAGATTCCCCCCTCTGCACCAACCTGCCAGCGGTCACGATGGGCCTCTTCCTTCTGTGGGTTTCAGTTTCCCCACTCGTACAATGGACGGGATGGTGGCGAAGGGGCTGCCTCCCCACCTCCAGCTGTGGGTGTCTGATACCCGCAGGTCCCCTCCCCCGGGTCTGCTCAAACGCTGAGCGGTCCGGGCAACAAAGCCCCGGTGTGACCAAAGGCAGCCGTGGGGCTGGTGCAGCAAGACTGCAGGTTAAAAATAGAGGCAGCTGGGCTGGGGGAGGAAGCCACACGATGCGATGGGCCCACAGGGCCTTGGGGGCTGGGGCGAGTGTAGCTCTGCCGGCCGCCCCCCACCCCAGATCCCCTTGCTGGATTCTGAGGAGCCTCTGCCTTCAAGGCCCCTGGATCGCACCCCCTCCTGCCCTAGAAAGGGGAAGCGGGTCCAGCTGTCCTGGAAGTGGGGCTATGAGCAGATTTCTAAAAATATGCTGGGAAAGAGGAAGGACAAAGGGGAAGTAGAGAGGAGCTGGGGAGCTGGCTGGGGCGGCACCTGGGCACACTCAGTCAGCCTGGGCCTGGAACACGAGAGGCGGGGCGGGGGCTGGGGGGACAGCCCAGCTTGGTGAGGGGGAGTCGTTGGTGAGGGTGGCCTCCCGGAGGTGTGGATTTACAGCCCAGTGAGGAGTAAACAGATCTCTTGGCAGCAGCAGTTGTTACTAATATTTTAATGTTCTTGTGTTTTTTATCATTATCATCACTATTTTTATTATTATTAAAAATCCATCTCCCACGAGCCACACCAGTGCCTGAAACTTCATCATCACCTGAATTGGAATCAGCAGTGACCCCTCTCAGGCTGTGCCCTTGTAACCCTCTCTGAACCTCAGTGTTCTCAGCTCTGAAATGGGGAGAAATCCCCACTTTTAAGCAAATAGGTGAAGGGTCAGAAGGCCCCTGTCCACCACGTGAGGACAGCAGCAGGTTCGGGGCGGTCAGCACTGTTTCGGGGTTGGAGGGGGTTTAGATGTACTTGGCCAGCCGCCAGCTGTTGGGGTCAGGACCTGACAGAAGGGGACAGTGGCCTGAGAAAGTTCAGGAACACACCTGCCAAACCATGAAAGGAGCTGCATGAATAAAAAGGCAGGACTTCCTGGCGGTCCAGTAGTTAAGACTCTGTACTTCCAAAGCAGGGAGCATGGGTTCAATCCCTGGTCGGGGAACTGAGATCCCGCATGCCACGTGGCCAAAAAGTTTAAATCATTAAAATAAAATTGAGCCTTAAAAGAAAAATTTTTTAAATAAATAACCTCTCACTACCCCATGTCATTCCACTTTCCCAGGTGGAAAAAAATAGCACTTTCCCCAGCTCTATGATGTTGGCCTCATTTTATTTTTTTACCCAAAAAGAGAAGGGGGCTCAGACTGTGGACATCACCCTGCACCTTGTCTTCATCCTCCTTGGTGGTCAGCAGTTCTGAGTCAGAAGACCCACACTTAGCGTCTTGAGGGGGTTTTGACAATCTGCACAGAGATGCCTGGATGCAGAAGATGGGTGTCAAGATGGGTATCAAAGCTGTGGCCTCAGAGCCCTGGATGGGCTGGGGTGTGAGCCACAACTCTGCCACCTTCTAGCTGTGTCCCCTTGGGCAGGTCACTTAAACTCTCTGAGCCCCCAGTGCCTCATCTATAGAATGAGATTTAGAAATACCCGACTCCAGAGTGGGGGTCAGGATCAAACAAGATAGTGGATGGCAAGATCCTGGAGTGCCCAGGGCCTGCAACACAGTAGGTGCTCAACCAGCATGTCTTTCCTTTGCCAGCAGCTTGGCTTGTTTGTGGAGCAAGATCCTAGATTTGCTGCAGGGATAGAGGGGGTTGGTGGTGCACAGATGGAGCACAGGAGGGCCCCAGAGGAGATGGAAAGAATGAGTAAGAGCTGCTAGGCAGGGAGGAGAAGGAATGGCATTCCTGACCCAAGGAACAGAATGTGCAAAGGCCTGTGGAGGGAAAGAGCAGCCAGGAGGCCCTCAGGCCAAGGGCAGGGGTGGGTGCAGTGTGAGATGAGTGTCGGCCAGGTAAGACTTGGGGTCTTCTTTTTAATATTGATTTATTTGGCTATGCCAGGTATTGGTTGCTGCATTAGGGATGTTTAGACACAGCATGAGAACTCTTAGTTGAAGCATGTGGGATCTAGTTCCCTTACCAGGGATCAAACCTGGGCTCCCTGCATTGGGAGTGTGGCGTCTTAGCCACTGGACAGTGGGATGTCACGGGAGACTGGATGGGAGGGACAGAGTGGAGGCAGGGAGGCTTCAGGAGGCTCTAAGTTATCTGGAGAGAGTAGTCCAGCGTCTGGGTGAGGGTGGAGGTTATGGAAACAGAAAGAAGATAAACAGGGCCTGGTGATGAAGGAGACACGAGGGTGAGAGTGATGTGTGTGTCAAGGTGCTTCCTGGGGTTCTGGCCAGGGTATCTGAGGAGCCATTCCCATAGCTTGAGAACTCAGGAAGAAGGCCAGGTTGCGGGGACATTCTAGGAGTTCTGCTTTAGTTGCAGTGACAAACAAGCTGATGGTCAGGACACAAGAGGGGTGGAAGGGTCTGAAGCTTAGGGCAAGGAGTTGGAGCTGAGGGTATGGGTGTGATTCCTTGGCCCAGGAGGAGAGGGGGTATTAATGAGACCCCATAGGAAGAGAGGAGAAGTCAGCATGGGACCCAGCCATGGGATCCCAATGGCTCATCCTTGACCATCTACCTTGGGGAGCATCCACAGAAGCATGGAATTCCTACCTGGCTTCTACCTGACAAGCAGCCAGTCAGGAATTTACTTGGCTTCCATCAGCAGGTGTACCCTGGATGAGAAACGGGCCTTGAGGACACAAGCCCCTGCCAACAGGAAAACAATGAAAAACAAACAAACAAAACATGAAAGTTTGATCTTTCACCACAAAGTCAACTAGAAGTGATTGGGTTTTTCCACTGTGGAGCTCAGCCTCCCTCCACTCCTGTCAGAGGAGTTCCAGGTCGCAGTCTCTAGCATGGCCTCCCCTGCAGTGACCATGGGCCTGCCCCAGTCTCCATGAAGATGGCCCCTCACTCTGTCCATCCCTGCATGTTTCCAAAGGCATGCAGAATCTACCTCTCCTGGGATGGAGACTTAGGTGTGGGAAAACTAGGGTTCTGATGCTAGCACCGCCACTTCCTGGCTGTGTGACCCAGAGCAAGTCACTTCACCTCTCTGGGTCTCCGTGTCTTAAACTGAGAAAGATCCACTTAGAGGTTAATGAGATGCTTGCTTTGCCACTTGGTGTAAATGCTGCCTCCCCTCACCTCCACCCCACTCCCACTTGCAAACCAGGATCTCTAGACTTCATAGATGCAGGGAGAGAGAGGAAAACTCCCAAGTGGGTCACTAGAAGGACAGTACCACTCCTGGTTCATGAATCCCAGTAGATTACCTCTTGGGGTCAAAGCACCATCTAATGGTCGTTGATTTAGGGTGTGTAGTACATCTTCAAGGATGGTGCCTCATCCGAGTGGTTTAACACCTCCAACTGACAGCTCAGCTGCATCTTCAACAGGCTGCTCTATTACTCCATCAGGCCAGCATCTTCCAGTGGTGAAATGTATGAGAGGACCACTGGGTCCTTAGGCCGCATGCTCCTCCCACATCTCCTTCAGTGTAAAGAGGGCTCCTTGGTCCAGTAGGATGTTTCACAGCGTTCTGGGTCAGCAGACTGAGCCTTGGATAGCAGTGTTGGTCCATGCTCTGTGGGCAGGAAAAGCCACCATAAGCAGAATGGGAGATCCCGTGTAAAAGATTTGCTGCCAAGTTGCTGTCTGGTCTTGTCGAAAAACAGTGGGTTGCTGGCAGGTTTGATATGGAATAGTGGCAGTAGCTTGGGGACCCTGGATGAGTGGGTCCACACAGAGCCTCCAAAGAGGCCACAAGGCTGCTTCATCCATGTACCATGGTACCAGCACTGGGCTAGCCAGGAAGAGACTGGCTGCTGTCAGCTGGTTGAGTCATTCTCTCTGCCTGGTGATTTAGTGACTCTTCTGTGGTGGTGGTTTCCTGGGGAACATCAGTGTGTTTACAAAAATCTTCACACTCTGCCCACTGCCATAGGGCCACCCACTTGCCTCTTCCCCAGGCCTTTTTGTTCTCAGTCTTCCTTCTTTCTGACCAGTCAAGGCACCTTCTTCTACTTAAGAATGCATGTATATTCTCACTTCACACTGCTTCTCTTTCCACATGAAATAAATGCCTTGCCCAAAGCTCTGCCTACTGGAAGGACTTCTCACCATTGTCCTTCTGGAACACCTTGAGCAGGGTTGTAGTTCATTAGCTATTCAGTTTTACTTGTAACCTGAGCCATCCATCCCAGAACTAAGTGCAGCATGTTTCTCCTTTGTCATAAGGTCACCAAGGACCCATCCGTGAAGACATAGTATGAGCTGAGGGACCAGGTATAACAACAGTGGATGGCATGGGGGTCTGGGTCATCTGTCCCTGGGGCTTACTGGATCCTTCTGTCTCTAAGGATTGCTGTTGGGCTCACTTGACTTTATCACTTGGTGGGTCAGACAGATCCATCTTGGCTGCCTGATGAGGGAATCATTACCATATATACTTGCTGCAATGTTGCAGAAGTCTTCCTTCTTGGGGTTTGGCCTCTCCTTCAGTCAACAGAGCTTGGGTCTAAAAACTGGCTTGGTCCACAAACCAGGCAAGAGGCCTTGACTTTTTATATAGTGACTGCCCTATGGGAGCAGTGTATCCGTGGGTGAGGCAGCTCCATTGGGGCTGAGGTAAATTCTGAGGAGGGACTCAGCTGTGAGTCCTCAGCAGGTTACACACACCCACACCCAGCCACTGAGGCAGTGGGTGCCTTGGTCCTGCAAGGGAGAACTGGGAGGCCCAACGTGGCATCCATTATATGTGTGTTGTACCCTTACCATATGTCACATACTCACAGAGTGTTTGGCAAAAGTCAGCATTTTTAATCCTGACAACCACCCTCTAGGTTATGGTTCATGTTTCAGAGACAAGGACACTGTATTAGTTATTTCATGTTTGGCTGATGTAACAAAAAGGCTCAGAATAACAGTGACTGAGACATCCTCAAAACTTATCTCTCTCGTTGAAAAGTCCAAGGGGTAGCTGGTGGAGGTGAACATGATGACTCTTCTCCATATGGATGCCTGGAGCCCAGATTCCTTCTAGCCCGATGCCATGCCATCTCGATACCCAGCTGACATCTCAAAGTCCAAAATAGCTGCTCAGTTGACAGAAGGGGGATGTCAGGAAAGGGACCCCTTGATATTCTCTCTGCTTTTATTTGGAAGGGATCATGTCTGTACTTGCAAAACCTTTAAGAAATGTGATCAGGCACTTCCCGAAGTGAAGCCTTGAGAGTCAAGAGGATTTGGATGAACAGACAAGAAGAGGCATCCTAGGGTGGAGAAGCTGTAGAGGCCAAGGCGGGGAAGTAAACTGTTAGACCATCTGGGGGCAGGCTGCACTGGCGGGCTCTTGTTGAGAATGGTGGGGAACAAGGCTGGCTAGAGAGGCCTGGGAGACTGTGGAGGCCCCAGGACCAGGACGAGGACTTTCTCCTCTAAGGAATCAAGATTCCATGGAGATTTTGACCAGGAGAGTGTTATGGGACAGAAAGCAGAGCAGGGTGAATAGAGGTGGGTCAGCTGCCCCGGGTAGGGAAATGGTCATAAGCACCTTGCACGGGACACTGGAGCACCCGTGTCTCCTTTCATTCATTTCCAGGTGAACTGTAGTCATCCCAACCCAAGTCCCACCTTGGCAGCAACTTGCCCCTTTGGAGCCCTGGCCAGCCCACCTCACCTCTCTGAGCTTGAGTGAAATGTCCCCCCAAATCCAGTTTCCTCATCATTATAGTAATGATATCAGGACCGCCCTACTGAAGGCTCATTACCTAGCCTCTCTTGAAGGTATCTGTGGCCATGTGACAACAGCTGGCCAATGGGATATCAGGGAAAATGATTGCCACCTCCTGGTCACATCGAATAGATGAGAGATACATGATCCGGTGAAGAAATAAAGTTACAGCGAAGGATGAATGCCTCTGGCAAGTATGGCACTGAGGACTTGCTATGTCAGGCTCTTTCTAGGTGCTGTGTGTGTGTGCTCAGTCATGTCCAATGTTTTGCGGCCCTGCGGACTATAGCCCACCAGATTCTTCTGCCTGTGGCATGCTCCAGGCAGGACTGGAGTGGGGTGTCATTTCCTCTTCCAAGGGATCTTCCCGACCTGGGAATCGAAACCTCATCTCTTGGGCCTCCTGCTTTGGCCGGTGGATTCTTTTCTCTTTTTTTTTAATGTGTTTATTTTTTGGCTCTGCTGAGCTTTGTTGCCGTGCAGGCTTTTCACCAGGTGTGATGCTCAGGCTCCTCATTGCGGTGACTTCTCTTGTTGCGGAGCACGGGCTCTAAGGTACAGGCTCAATAATTGTGGCACACAGACCTAGCTGTTCCGTGGCATGTGAGATCTTCCCGGATCCAGGATTGAACCCATGTCTCCTGCAATGGCAAGTGGATTCTTTGCCACTAGCACCACCGAGGAAGCCCCATGCTAGGTGCTGAGGATATGGCAATGAGCAAAATTATTGAAGCGCCGGTTGTCATGGGGTTGAGTGGAATGAGTAGAACACAAACAATGCAAGTAAACAGATGGCTGAACGAGTCTGAGCGAGTCTGTACCCAGAGGGGCAAAAGAAACAAAAAACTTGGTGGAAGGCGAGGGTGGGGCAAGAACTGCTTTAGACAGAGCAGTCAGGGAAGGCCTCGTGGAGGAGGTGGCATCTCAGCCGAGGCCTGAGTGAAGAGGGCAAGCAAGTCATGGGTTTCTGGAGGGAAAAGAGCCCTGGGGAAATGAGAGACAGCTGGGTGGCTCGGGATGGAGCTGAGGGATGGAGGGGAGGGCTGGAAACGAGCCAGGGGACCACCAGTTCTTCTCTCTCCAGACCCAGGGGAGCTGAGCAGCGGGGAGGCAGAGGAGCTGCAGCAGATCAAATGGCACCGGAAGCAGCTTCTGGAGGACATCCAGGTGTGCTCACACTCAGCTCACAATACACACGCTTTTGTCCACACGTGTGTTCATGCCCTTGAACCACGCTCACACATCAGCAAACACTCTTACTTGCTCCTGACCCAGCCAGGATCAAGAGCAGGTCTAGATTCCAGCCCACTCAGAGCTTTGGCCTTGGCCCTTAGGAGTGGGAAGGACAGAATTTGCAAGGGAACTCCCCACTCCTGGCTCAGCTTCCAGAGCCCAGGGAGAGCCAGGAGAGCAGGGCAGAGAAAGGGAGCAATCGATTAAGCACCTACTATGTGCAGAGCCCCACCTGCATGGCCTCTATCTGGTCTCACCCCCACCCTGGGCCTCAGCTTCCACCCTCCTAACATGTAGACCATTTAGTCAAGATAACGCCAATATCTGCCTAGCACTTTGCCACCTCATCAGCTCTCAGACATTAGTTCATCTGATTCCCAGAAACTTTCTGAGACAGGCCCTGCTTCTGTTCCTGGAATGAGCCATCCAGCTCAGTCCTGCCCCTGGACCTTTGCACTCACAGTTCCCTCTGCCTGAGACTCTCCAAGCCCTCCTTAGAGCTCCTCCTCCTAGTTCATTCTTGGCTCAAATGTCTCTCCTCTTAGGGGCCGCCCTGTCCACCCTGGCTGTAGTTGCTGGAACCTCACCCTCCACCCCACCACGCATATACCGAGGATTCCAGAGAAAGACAAAGGCATGGGATCATTCCCTCAGCAAGTACCTACCACCTGACAGGCTCTTTCTAGACCACTGCTCTGACCATGTTCTGTGTGGTCATTTCAATTGTCCCAAGATCCCAACCCCACTGGACCATGAGCTCCATGTAAGGGGAGCCTGGGTCTGTTTCCCACCCCTGCATCCCCAGCCCAATGGTCAGAGCATAGTAGATGTTCAATTAATAATTTTGCATGGACCCACCCCCCATTTTATTTGTGGAGAATTCACTCAGTGACTGGGCCAAGATCACATGGACAGGAGCTGACTGGGCTTAGAAGCTCTAGGTTCCAGGCTGCCCCTAGGTCCCAGGACAAACCCCTAGGAACCACGCTCCACCCTTTCCAAGGTCTTGGGGGAGGATCGGGAGGGCTGGGGTGCCTTCAGGGGCTCTTGCCAGGTGCTCATGCTGCTGCCCTGCAGAGGGATGCTGGATGAGCTGCCACACCTCCCCATCTACCCAGTGGTGGTTGTTGGCAGAGTTAGGGGGTCTCCTGGAGATATGTTGGACACATGATCTCACCACTCTGGGCCTCAGTGTCATCTTCTGTAAATTCCGCTGGAGTTGCAAAGTCCCGAGAAGAGAGCCTGGACTGTCTTATGCCGTGGTGCACCCAGAGAATCTGGCTTGTAGTGGCCACAGAGTCTAGGGCAGGGTAAATGGATAGAGGGAGGGAAACTAGAGAGGAGTTGGGCCCTGATCACAGGGCAGGAATTTGTCCTTCCTGACACGGAGGTAGTAGGGAGCCATTGACAGAGTTTGAGCAGAAGAAGGGCAGACACCAAGCTGTGCTTCAGAAAAATGCAGCTGGGTGGAGGAGGGCTTGTGGGGAAGGTTTGACTAAGGGCAGGACACTTTAGAGCAGCAGAGGCAAAAGATAGGAAGACTGGAAATAGAGTGCGGACTGGGGACTCCCTCACCCTGAGACAGGAGCCCCGGGAGAGTTAGATATAAACAGAGGCAGTAACCTTGGCTTTGGATTTTGAAGATGAGAGACATCTGGAAAAGGGATCTTCCTGCGGAGGGAGCCTTAGTGACAGCTCAAGACAGAGGTCTGGGAGTCATGCTCAGGGTGGGAGTGGTTGTGTTGGGTGGGGGGGGCGGTGACGGAGAGGGCTGTGAAGCCCTTTCTGTCCTGGCCTCCACCCCCTGACTCTCCCTCTTCATAATGCCCCTGCCACTCCACAGAAGCTGAAGGATGAGATCGCAGATGTGTTTGCCCAAATCGACTGCTTCGAGACAGCAGAGGAGAGGTGAGGGGCCAGCCGGGGACCCAGGGAAGCTGCCACGGTGGTTTCTCAAAGATGTCACATGTCATGAGAGTGAATGAGCCCAGGCCCTGGTGAAATCAGGGATCAGACCCCCAGAGGGGAGGCTCCGGGGTGAAATAGGAATGTGGCAGCTCTGACAGTCCAGCCTCCAGTCTGGTCTGGTCCTTGCTTCCAGACTGTCCCCTCTCTTCAGTGTCAATCCCCGTTCTCCTGCCTCCTCCACCCCAAGTCTCTCCCAGCCCACCTGACCCCGCCCCTGACCAATCATTGCCCAGGAGCATCCTGGGGAGGGTCAGGGAGGAGGAAAACTCAGCCCCAAGGATGAGGACTAGGAAGCCAAAGGCCTTATGGGAACAGAAGCCACGCCTATGGTCAGGCCAAAGCTGGTCCACCCCACCCCACCCATGGGTGTCATCCACTCCGCCCCTTCTGTGGGAAGACACCCCCTGTCTCTGTAACCTGCGGTTGGTCCTCTCCCTTCTCTGGGCTTCAGTTCCCCACTTGTGCAATGAGAAGGTTGGTCCATACATAACCCCTAGGGGCCTCAGGGCACTGACTCTATGTTTGGTGTCTCAGAAGATCCCCACCCTGCCCCTGTCAGCCTCATTTCTCTGATGCCTCTTATCTCCACCTTCCAAGCAGGACACACACATGCACACAGATGCACACACACACACACACGTGCACAGCCCCCATGTCTCTAGATCCCCTGCTTCAACCCCCAACAATGACAAGAACATAATATTTACACAGCTCCTACCACCCGTTGTTTTCAATGCTTTAACCTCTCAACAATGCTTGGGATGCCAGGGGTGGAGTCACACCCCATTTTACAGAAGAGGAAACTGAGTCCCAGAGAGATGAAGCGACTCCCCCTGAGTGGGATTTGCACCAGGAGTCTGGCTCCAGAGCTTATGCTCTCCTCCCCACCCCCCACCCCACCCACCAGCCTCCTTGTTACGTTGCTTCCACTCCAAGCCCTTCTAAATCCTCTCCCCTGGGAGCATCTCTGGCTCCCCAGGTCACAGCTTCAGAACTGGTTAAAATGCTGGCACTGAGCCCTTTGGAAATTGGGTTTCCTGGCTCAGGAAGGGGTCCAGACCCTGCATTTCTCACATTCTCTCAGGTGACTCTGACCCCACTTGGAGGTCCTTAAGGAATGCTGGCTCTAGCCAAGGAAAGCATCCTTGGGGATTGGAAGGGTGCCCTGGGGTCCAGGGGTGTCCAGGCTGATGTCTTTCCATCTACAGCCGCATGGCCCAGAGGGAGAAAGAGCTGTGCATCGGGCGCAAGAAATTCAACATGGACCCCATGAAGGTGGGCAGTGCGGGGGCTTGGGTTGGGGGGTCAAGGGAGCTGCACGCTGGGCATCGTCACAGTGTCTCCTTCTTCCCCTCAACCAACACAATTACCTACTTTCCAGAGGAGGAAACTGAGGCCCCGCTGGGCTCAGCATCTTGTCCAGTGCCCCCACACCATCAGGGCTGAGGGCTCCGCCACCCCATAGCCAAGTAGCCCCGGGGCCTAAGGTGGGAGCCAGGAGGATGACGGGGGCTCTGTGATGTCTTTGAACTTGGGGTCCCATGACTCTGGGCCCCTATCTCCTAGTCTGTGAGTGGTTGGGCCTTTGGACTCTGGGGCTCAGTCTCTGGAAGTGTCTTTTAGTTGCTCAGCTTAGGCAGCCTGTCTTGAGAGGCTGGCATAGAGCCCTGAATGCTCAGATCTCAGCTATGGTCTAACCCCCACCCCCACTGGCCTCAGAGCAACCACAGCCCCCACCCCTCGCCCAGCTAGGTGGCAGCTGGGCTCCTTTCCTGCAGGAACCGAGGCAGGAGGAAGCCACAGCTGACACGCCGAAGTGGGGTCAGGGCAGCCATAGGGTCCCTGGAAATTTACTGCTCTGGTTTAGAAGGCTGCCTCTTCGGCATCACAGATCTCCTGTTTCCCCAGACACAGAAACGGACCCCTGCTCTCATCCACGTGGACCACACAGACCACACACACACACACACACACACACTCACATTCCTGCCTGAGTGCCCCTCAGAGGGGGCCTCTGAGGGGTCCCCTGGGCCATCTGCCTGTCACACAGAGCCTTCCACAGCCTATCCCCACTCTTCCAAGCAGCCTCTTCTCCAAAAGGAACAGGGATGCAAAGGCCTCATCACAGGAAACCAGAGCCCAAACCCTCCAACTCCTAAAATTAGAATGACAGACTTTGAGTGCCTGGGTTGTGAGGTGAGATGTTTTGATATTGTCAAATCCGAAAAGCGGGGCAAGGCACACTCCCATTTTCACACAGCAAGGGGAGGAAAGGCACTGCCGGGGTGTCTACCTCCGAGCCGTAGCAATTTCCTCTCCTTTTGATTGAGCTGGGTTTTTCCCTAATTTTTATACAATGGACATAGATTATTCGTGAGAAAAAAGTGAAACACTGTTTTTAAATAATACAAACATTAAGCTGAATCATTCAATCTTAAAATTATAAATTCACCGAATCATCAAAGCATATGATCAGAGAGTGGCAGACTGAGGGGGGTCTGGGGGAGCAGCTGGCATGAACCTGGTTCATGGCAGGAACACATGTCTGTTTGCACACCTCTGCTGATGGGGAACTCATCACCTTACAAAGGCAGCTTCAGTTAAGGAGGGTCACAAGTTCCCAGAACAAGCTGTGCCAATGCTAGAATTCCAGGCCCCAGGGATCTGGCCACGGGCGCTCCCTCTCTCTCCCTTCCCAGGCCAGCCGCTGGGTGGGGGCTGCTCACAGGCTCTGTGTACCACCTCCAGGGCATCCAGTATCTCATTGAGCACAAGCTGCTGACCCCTGACATCCAGGACATCGCCCAGTTCTTGTACAAAGGCGAGGGACTCAACAAGACAGCCATTGGCACCTACTTGGGAGAGAGGTAAGGAGGGTGGGACCTTAGGAAGGCAGGGAATGAGGAAGTGCAGGTGTGCACAGGTACGTGTGAGGGGTGGGTTGTGTGTGCAGGTAACTAAGGAATGAAGCATGTTAGGAAAGTCGTAACTCCTGAGGCTTGAACAGGTTAAGTGACCACTCTCCTTCCAGACCTTGAGCCAAAGCATGTCTGCCTTCATTCCTTCCTTCATTCATTTAGAAAACAAGTAGATATTTTTAATATCTACTGTGCTTCCTGCATAGCTCAGTCGGTAAAGCATCTGCCTGCAATGTGGGAGACCTGGGTTCAATTCCTGGGTCAAGAAGTTCCCCTGGAGAAGAAAATGGCAACCCACTCCAGTACTCTTGCTTGGAGAATCCCATGGACAGAGGAGCCTGGCGGGCTACAGTTCATGGGATGGCAAGAGTCAGACACGACTTAGCGCTATCTTTACTAGGTGCACCAGGCAGTGTTCTAAGTCCTGGGTTTATACCAGTGAACAAGACAAAGCTCCGGGGGCGGGGGTGGGGATAAACTGGGAGTGTGGGATTAACAGATGCACAATACCATACATAGCAGATTAACAACAAAGAATTACTGTGTAGCACAGAGAGCTATATTCAATATCTTGTAGTAAACTACAATGGAAAAGAATTGAAAATAAAGAATATATATATGTGTGTGTGTGAAAAGTGAAAGTGAAAGTTGAGTCGCTCAGTCGTGTCCGACTTCTTGCGACCCCATGGATTGTAGACTACCAGGCTCCTCCGTCCACGGGATTTTCCAGGCAAGAGTACTGGAGTGGATTGCCATTTCCTTCTCCAGAGGATCTTCCCGACCCAGGGATCAAACCCAGGTCTCTCACTTTGTAGGCAGACTCTTTACCATCTGAGCCCCCAGGGAAGTCCCTATATATTTATGTATATATATGCAAATAATTTTGCTGTATGCCTGAAAATAACACAGTTGTAAATCAACTATACTTCAATTAAAAAGAAGAAAGCTTCTGCCATCAGGGAAGGTACATTCTAATGGAGAAGACAGGTACCAAAATATGTAAAATAAGTTAGAAAAAATTAAAAGTTCTTTGGAATACAAACAAAGCAAGAAAGGGAGATGAGAAAGTTCTGAGAACTGTGCTTCAAAGACTGTGACTTTAAATAGTGTGGACACAAAGGGTCTCACAGAGAAGGTGACCTTTGACTGAAATTTAGAGAAGGTAAGCAGTGTGGCTCTGGGGGAAGAGCATTTCAGGCAGAGGGAACAGCACATGAAAAGGCCCTGGGGCAGAAGCCTGCTGAAGGAACAACAAGCCAGTGAGACAGGAGTAGAAGGATGGAGGGTGGGAGGAAGTAGTCAGTGACAGGTGGGGATCCCTGAGACGGTACTGGGCCGAGGGATACTCTGAGGGGATCCCTCTGGCTGCTGGGGGAGGGCATAAACCGTAGAGGACAGGTACGGAGCTGGGCCAGCAAGCCAGCACCCCCTCTCCCAGGCACCTCAGATAACACTCTCCTTCTCCTGAGCAAGCCAGGAATGCAGCTGGCAAGAAGGGCAGGGCTTTCTGACTTCAGATCTGAGAAGACAGAGGAAGTGGGGGTGGACATGGTTCTCTCCATTTTACAGATGAGAATACCGGGGCTTGGGGAGGTCGGGTGGTTTGTGAGGGGTCACCCAGACAGAATGTGACTCAGCACAGGCCACTCCGAATCCAGAGCCCCCATCCTGACTGAGGTCAGTGCTGGTAAGCCAGGAGGGTGTGGGGGGGTCTGCTGTGAGTGGGAGGACATGAGTGTGCAGATCGTGGTGGGAGGACGGTGATGCAGGGTCAAACATGTGAACAGACCAGAGGGTCGCTGGATTCAGAAGGAGGATGTCTCTCCCCTCCTCAGCCTCCCCCAGCTCAACCCCTCTAGAAGGGGGAACAAATGCTCAAATGTGTCCCACCCTCCCTTCTGTCTCCTCTCCAGAGACCCCATCAACCTGCAGGTCCTCCAGGCCTTTGTAGATTGCCATGAGTTTGCTAACCTCAACCTTGTCCAGGCCCTCAGGTGAGTGGTCCAGGGGGCAGGGGCCTGATTCCCAAGGGGTTGGAGGGGTGTTGGGGGCACCATCATCCACATGGCTAACAGCACAAACAAAGCATCAGGCTCAAGAATTAATTAAAGAGGGAATTCCCTGGGGATCCAGTGGCTCAGACCCAATTCTTTCACTGCTGAGGGCTTGAGTTCAATCCCTGGTCAGGGAACTAAGATCCTGCAAGCTGTGCAGTGCGGCCAAAAAATTGTTTTTAATAAATAAATAGAAGTAATTGATGACAGTATCCCCAAAGAGAGCTGAGGTTATTAAATGAGATAACAGGCATGGACTGCCTGTATCAGCACCTGGCTTGTTACTACTACTACTACTAATGATTATATCATTATTATAATAATGTTTAATCATTTTAATCACTATTACTATTATTATGACTGCTATTCCCACTGATTTTTGAATTAGTGCTTATTTTATTTATTTTATTAATACAGCTTGGTGTGTACTACATTTATTATTACTTATCATTTTCTAATTAGGATATTATTTTTGCTACTCATTTTTATAGTGATGGGAGGCATTAATATATATGGGTAAGGAACACACATTCTGGAGCTAGACTGCACAGTTCATACCCTATATCTGCTACTCACCCCTGGGGAAAGTGACACACACACAAAAAAACCCTTTCTGTGCCTCAGTTTCTTTATCTGTAAAATGGGGTTAATAACAACACCAACCTCATAGGGTGGTGAGGACTAAGTAAGAAAGTGCTTAGAATTGATCCATAGTAAGGGTTTAGTAAGTCTTGCTGCTGCAGATGATGTCTGGAAAATCATCTCCTGAGTAGGGGCATTTGATCTGGGTTTGGACAGATGATTAGGAGTTTGCAAGTCAGAGAAGGAAAAAGCCACCACTATCTAAGCAATGTGGCCTTCCCTCCAACTCTCATGCTTTTTAAAGGAGAGGGGTAGGTTGAGTCTCCAAAATTCATTCGTTCATTTATTCATTTTTTTCATTCTCTCACTCATTTAACAAGCCTTACTTGAGCAGGCACTGGCTCAGAAAACACAGTCCCAGTGTTCAAGGCTCAGCGGGAGATGTGAGAGGAGCAGGCATGGCCCTTGACCTTGGCGAATTCAGTTGGAAGCTGTGGATATTATTCAGTTCCAAGAAAAGGAAGCTCAGCCAAGGAAAGACAACCTCCCCAGGGTCCCACAGATCCCAGAGCCCAGTGGCCAGGTGGAGAGAGGCCTTAGAACCTGAGAATCTGCATTGGTCCCCTCATGGGCTGGAGTGGACTGGGCCACAAATGGTGCTAGGCCACAGATGGGCAGAGAAGAGTGTCCACTAACCTCCTATATTCTATTTTTTTTTCTTTTTTTTTCCCATTTATTTTTATTAGTTGGAGGCTAATTACTTTACATCATTGCAGTGGTTTTTGTCATACATTGAAATGAATTAGCCATGGATTTACATGTATTCCCCATCCCAGTCCCCCCTCCCACCTCTCTCTCCGCCCTATCCCTCTGGGTCTTCCCAGTGCACCAGGCACTTGTCTCATGCATCCAACCTGGGCTGGTGATCTGTTTCACCCTAGATAATATACATGTTTCGATGCTGTTCTCTTGAAACATCCCACCCTCGCCTCCTCCCAGAGTCCACAAGTCTGTTCTATACATCGGAGTCTCTTTTTCTGTTTTGCATATAGGGTTATTGTTACCATCTTTCTAAATTCCATATATATGTGTTAGTATACTGTAATGGTCTTTATCTTTCTGGCTTACTTCGCTCTGTATAATGGGCTCCAGTTTCATCCATCTCATTAGAACTGATTCAAATGAATTCTTTTTAATGGCTGAGTAATATTCCATGGTGTATATGTACCACAGCTTAACCTCCTATATTCTAGAAGAAAAGGCATTTCTTGGATCCTTCCTGCAGACTTGGTGCTCACAGCACAAATTCCACTGACCCTTCCCATTAGTCTAGATATCAGGTGCAGAGTCTCCCATTTACAGGATAAAGAGACTAAGCATGAGAGAGGCAGAGCAGTTTATTGAAGGGGAGGAATGGGGGGCCCTCTTACCCCCTCTGAGAGCCCTCCACCTCCACTGCCCATGGCTCTGTTCCCTGACCCCAGACAATTCCTGTGGAGCTTCCGGCTGCCAGGTGAGGCCCAGAAGATCGACCGCATGATGGAGACCTTCGCCTCCCGATACTGCCTCTGCAACCCCGGCGTCTTCCAGTCCACAGGTGCCTATGTGGGAGGGGACCCCGCCAGGTGCGAACCTACCTCCTGAGGCACCAGGTCTCTCCCAAGCACCCAGACCCTGGGAGCCCAGATCCTGTCACCAGCCTTCACTGAGTACCATATCCGTGCCAGACCCTCTGCTGGGTGTGTGTCAGGCAGAGCTGCCTACACACACATCTCCCAAGGGCATGATCCTTGGGAGAGAAGGCAGGAAATAATGGCGTGGAGTGCTAAGGTATCAGTGTCTCATCTGAGGGTGGGGGTGGGGGATTCAGCATGTCCAGGCTGGCTTCCCAGAGGACCTGATGTCTGAATGGGGTTTTGAAGGATGAATAGGAGTTCTTCAGGAGGTCAAGGGGAGAAAGGGTCTTTGGGAGTGGGGTTCTAGTTTGAGCAAAGGCATGGAAGCAGAAACAGACTGGGCAGGATGCACGGGGCCAGGGTGGATAAGATGGATATCAGCAAAAATCAGTCCTCCACACTTCCCAACAGGGTGGGAGAGAAATGATGGCAGGCTTGTCCTGGTCTCTTCTCTGGATCTGAAGGTACCATGGCAATAACCAAGTCCAAGTACTAAGCACTCCCCAGATGCTAAGTGCTTTACCTATGCAAGTCATGTAATCCTTACATCTACTCTGTGAGGTCAGCAGTGTTCTCATCCTTGCACATAAAGACTCAGAGAAGTGAAGGGGGTTTCTTAGCAGTGTGTCTATGGACAAGTCTACAGAGCATTTGCCCACCTTGTGGTTATACATAAATTAGGGATTTGCTTGCTTATTATCTATCAGCTCCACAATTTTAAACAACCCACAAGTGTGGGGACCATACAGATTTTTTCACCAGTGAATCCCCATTCTGTAGCATTTATTAGTTATTCAATAAATATTTGTAGGAAGGAAGGAATTTTAAAGCACCAGATTTGAATCACCTTTGAACTACTTAATCTTGTGACCTGGGACATGTAATTTACTCTCCCTGTGCCTCAATTTCCTAATCTGTAAAATGGGTGGGGGCAGTAACAGTGCTGGCCTCGTTAGTGTTATCAGGGGATGTAAAGAGCTTAGCACAGGGCAAGCACCAGCAACATTAAAGCCACTGTTATCAGAGGTAAAATCGTTAATGAACATGAAGCTCTTTCAAAGTTAAACCTTCTAAAATATTGCAGGGACTTCCCGTGTGGCATTAGTGGTAAAGAACCCGCCTACCAATGCAGGTTAGACATAAGAGACACAGGTTCGATCCCTGGGTCAGGAAGATCCCCTGGAGGAGGGCATGGCAACCCACTCCAGTATTCTTGCCTGGAGAATCCCATAGACAGAGGAGTCTGGCGGCCTACAGTCCATGGGGTCACAAAGAGTCAGACACAACTAAAGCGACTTAACACACCTCATATTGCAGATGGGGAAGCTGAGGCTTTAGGAACTCAAGTGCTTTTCAAGGTCAACAGGAGAGCTGGGGTCACAGCTGAACTTTGCTGGCTCGGATTCAGGGATTTAAAACATCACAGAGTAGCGATCATCTCCCTCCCAAACGCTCAGCCCAGCCTGGCTCCTGAGCACAAGCACGTGAAAGTCTGAATAATAGAACAGGAGCTCGGCTCTGGGAGCCCACAATGCTAGCAAGATTACCAAGCAGCACGTGACCCAGCCCTGAACAGGGTAGCAAACAATAAGCATCCTCTGAGTTCCAAGGAGGCAGAGAACAGAGTGGGCAGGGGGCAGGAAGGGCTCAGCGGGGAGGAGGGCTGGAGCAGGAGACTAAAGAGCAGGGGGGTTTAAATGGGTAGAAAATGGGAGAGGAGGTCGTGCCAGGCAGGGGGCCCAGCAGGAGCAGAAGTGCCGGGTGGGAGGCACACAGGGGCCCGGGGAACTGACAGCTGAAGCTTGTTTGCAGCAGGGAGCTCCGGAAGAGTGGGAGGTGAGGTTAGGACTTGAATGCCAAGCCGGGAGGACAGGGTGGACCTTCAGGGCATCGAGACAGCCAGCTCTCCGTCCCGGAGTGGTTAGGGCCAGGACTCTGACCGCTGTCGCGTCCCGCAGACACCTGCTACGTCCTGTCCTTCTCCATCATCATGCTCAACACCAGCCTCCACAACCCCAACGTCCGGGACAGGCCACCCTTCGAGCGCTTTGTGTCCATGAACCGTGGCATCAACGACGGCAGTGACCTGCCTGAGGAGCAGCTGCGGGTAAGAGGGGCGTGGCCCCGGCCAGCTGGTCTCCAGGCGTCCAGGAGGAGCCTGCCTTTGGGCGGATGACCCAAGAGGGGCTCATCTAAGAGAGGCCTTTCCAGGAGGGGCCCTCCCAGGTCAATAACTGTCTTGAGATGTGCTAAGTTGCTTCAGCTGTGTCTGACTCTTTTTCGACACTATGGACTGTTGCCAGCCAGGCTCCTCTGTCCAGGGGATGGACCGTCACAAAAGAGGTTGGTCCTGAAATGGGCTTTCGCAAGTGGTCCCATCTTAAGAAGGAAGTCCAAGACTGAACACCCAGGAGGTCTGCCCGGACCTCAGCCTTTGGGGAGCTCTAGGCACCCATCATTCATACCTTCCTTGAAAGGGTGCCTCACACCACCTAGTCTATTTCTTGGAATCCCAGAGTCTTAGACTCTCAGTGGGTCAGAGCAGAAAATTCCCAGTCTCTGCTCAAACACCTCCCTCTTACAGAGAGGAAGAAGCTGGTCTTCCATAGGCTACACTTCAGCTCCAGAGTCGAGCAGATCCCAGGCTTCCTATCCCATCCTAAACAGCCCCCACCCCTGCCACACTGCACCAGGCTCTGGCCTGGCATGGGGCATCCAGGGATGAATCAACCCAAGTTCAGTGTCTGGTGGGAAGATAAAAGGACATGTGAATTACAGCCCTGCCTGATTCAAGCTATGCTGATCATAGGAACCTAGCTATGGAGACCCAGCAGACAATACTATCACTCTCCCAGGGGCAGGGAAAGAGTGCCATCCTGGAAGACTTCACAGAGGAGGTGACTTTTGAACTGGCCTTGAAGGTTGAGTGGGAGTTTGCCCAGAGGAGAAGCAGGGTAAGGACATTCCAGAAAGAGGAAGTGGCCAGCACTTGACTTGGTAGGGAAAAGGAGGGGCATCCGAGGTAGCCATCTGGGTACAGACAGACAGTGAAGGGCACCAAGGTGGGGCCAGAGTGCCCAGGGCTTTGAACTACAGCCTGCAGAGTTTACCTGCTTCCTATGGGCAAAGTGGAGCTGGGAACTATCTTAGAAAGACAGGAGTGAGATTCAAAGACTGGCTCAGCAAAAATGAAATGACAGTTCATTTCTAGGATTAGAGGTGCCCAAAGCTCTATAGAGTTTCAGTTCCCTCTGGGTCAGAGTCTGGCAGGAGGGGAGGAGACAGTGTGAACCCCACCCTGGCAGCTTAGCACCCTGTGTGTGTTCTGCAGCAGAAGTCTGGTGGGGGTGGGGGAGAGCCTGGATCTGGAATGACTCTGGTGTTCTTCAAGATTTGAAAACAGCTGTGCCCTTCGCCCTTCACCCTCCTCGATCCCCAGAGAAAATTTATTTTGGAGGGGGGCATGATATGAAATTGGAGAAGGAAATGGCAACCCACTCCAGTATTCTTGCCTGGAGAATCCCACGGACGGAGGAGCCTGGTAGGCTACAGTCCACGGGGTTGCAAAGAGTCAGACACAACTGAGCGACTTCAGTTTCACTTTTTTCACTTTACGATATGAAATGAGGACTTGAGAGTAGATTAGAGCTCAGGTCAAGTCCCATCTCCCCGTTGTTCACCTCCTGGATGACCTTGAGTAATGACTCACCCTCTCGGGGCCACCATTTCCTCAACCAGGAGAACGGGAATAATGACGCCTGCGTCACAGAGCTGCTGTGAGTAGTAATTTTTAAAAACGTAAAGGGCATAGCCCATGCCAGGTACGTAGCACAAGCTCTAAATGGTAGCTTAGGTCGCTATTAAGACTCATTAATAATTATTTAAAATCCCCAGCCCTTAGTAAACTGCCTGAAATGTGAAAGGCCTTTGAAAACTTATCTCATTGTGGTACTTAGAGCAGGAAGCTGGGCACACCTGGTCTGGCAGGTAATGAGTTAACAGGCTGCCAGCACCAGCCCTGTTGGATCTCCCAGGTGCCACTTTATTGCTTCTGTCCCGGGAGAGCCTCCTTCAGCAGCTCCCTCCTTAGGTATTTTTCCCAATTCAAGTCTTTTGTTAATAACAATGCGCTGCATTTGTATAGAGCTTGTAACTTTCTTCTCATAGGGCTTTTGGGTCTATTATCTCAATTTAGCTTCAAACTCTGCCTGGGAGGTCTGGAAAGGGTTTATTATCCTCCTTGGCAGCCGAGAGGCAGGGAAAAGAACAGAGCGTTGGAGTCACAGCCACATCCAAGTGCTAGCTCCTCCATTTTCTAGTTGTGTGACTTTAGGTAAGAGGCTTGACCTCTCTGAGCTCCCAGCTTATGGGATTAGTGTAGACATGTAAGGTATTTAGCACAGCACCTATGTCTCTGGGCTGGCTAATGAATCCAGAAGCTTTCAGGGCACAAAGAGAACCACACTGGCCTAGTCCTTGCTCTTCAAGGTTTTTACAGAAAACTGCTGTGGACTGGGGGGTCTTCTTGCTTTCTTTTGGGGCTTCAGCGTCCCCATGTGTAAAGCAAGGACTCAGCTTTAAGTATCTTTAAGTATCAGTTTGTGGCTTTGTGGAAGGATTCTCCAGGACAAATAACATTTTTAAGTGACCTGATTTATGAAATTAAATTGACACAGACACATCACCTAAAGAGAGGTCACTCTGTGACCATGAGGATACGCAGGTGGGAAAGGCTTTGGAGAGGTGCCTGATGGGAGCGGGGGCTCAGGCAGGTAAACGAGTCTTGCCCTGGCCATCCTGATGGGGACAGGGCAGAGTGCCTAAGAGACTCAGGGCAAAGGCATAGGCTGTGGACTCAGAGAACAGGAGATCAAATCCCAGCTCCGCCTTTATGGCTGCGTGTCCTTGAGTGTGAGCCTCGGTTTCTCCATCTGCAAAGTGGGCTGATGACACTGACCTTACATTGTTCTCCTGAGAAGCAGACAAAGCACTTCAAGTGCCTGGCTCCACTCACCATGACACTGCTGCCCAGAGAGGGACCTGGGGTGGAGAAGGAAAAGAAAGAGAGAAGAAGGAGGAGAGCTCATCCACCCTCTGGTGTCACAGGTGGAGAAATCAAGGCCCAGCAAAGGAAACAGCCAGTTCAGGGCATCTTTTGCTGTAGGTAGGGCCAGACCTCCTGGGTTCTTGTCCAAGCATCTCCTTCAGAAATGACTGTATATTGGGCTCCGTAAGTTCTCCTGACAACCACAGGCATCAGGTACCATTCCCACCCCACCCCACCCCCAGGTTACAGCAAAGGAAACTGAGCTCCAATAGAGGTAGCTGGCCAGGGGGGCTAAGTCTGTGAGGAGTCCGGGTTCAAACCCACGGCTACCTGAGCCCTCCCCTCTGCAGAGACCAGAAAGGAAGATTTGGGAATGCAGATGTTGACTTGTTTCCCAGCTTCCAGTTTCTTCCTTGGCTGGAGGAATGCTCAACTCATGTCAATGAAAAGATGTGGGACTGATGGTCAGCTTCAGGTTCGGCTAGATCCAGGTGCTTCATTGAGGTCAGGGCTCAATCTGGTCTCTCCATCTCTGAGCAATCTCCTCTTCCAAATTGACTTCCCTCTTAAACAGGCTTTCCCCCAAGCTCCCCAGAGAGGACCTGGGCAAACTCCAGGTTTCCATCTTGCTTAACAGTTTAGAGTCCCAGAATGAAGGCTTATTGGTTGGTGTGGGTCACAATTTAGAGTCCCAGAATGAAGGCTTATTGGTTGGTGTGGGTCACAAGTCCCTCTCTGAATCAGTCACTGTGACCAGTAGGAAGAAATGCTCTAACTAGCCAGATGGGAGTCATTCCCTGTCTCCTGGAGCCGCGAGGGAGTGCTGGGTGGGCAGTGTCAAACCCCTGAGCAACCTGGACAGAAGGTAAGGGGGTGATTCTCCAGAGGAGAACAGAGTGGGTGGGGAAGGGTGGATGCAAGGCCAGCACAACCACTGGTGAGTGGCTGTTGTCTTTCTGATCATGTCTACCCAGCCAGGAGAAGACAGCCTGATTTGGTGGTGGCAGGTGCAAGGGTGTTTTCTTACAGGAGGTGAGGGGAGCCTGGTTTTACAAGGTACAGGAAATGTGGGTGAACAGAGCTTCTTTCCTTGTGGGGGCAGAATGTGTAGGCTGTAGGAGGCCCGCAGAAGCTGCCGGGGGCTCCCCGTGGGTGTCGTGAAGGATGAGGCCTTGTCTGTCCCCCTGCTTGCCCCCTTGGGCCTTCAGAATATTTGTATGGGCTACCAGCTTTGCTGACAGAGAACAGGTCTTAGAGAACAGAACTCCTTCAACCAGCCGGGGCTACTAGGGAAACCTCAGGGCCAGGCTGGGCCAGAGCGGGAGGGGCAGGGGCTTCCTGGCTGCTCTAGGAACGTGGAGGCTCCGAAAAGGGAAAGTGGTCCCTGCCCTTTCCCACTCAACCCACCGCAGCCAGCTGAGTCCTCTCCATCAAACCCAGGAAAACCTGCTACAGGCCAACACCCTCCTCCCCTACTCTCTTACCCTACCACTATCCCTAAGCTCCTGGATCAGAAAAGATGTTTAAAAACCAGCAAACACCATTTCTAAAACTTTGGGGAATCGAACAGTACTTGTGAAATTTTTCATTTAACATTTCAAGGAAACTATCTGAACAGCAGCACACACAAACACAGCAGAAGGAAATGATTTCATTATGTCGATGGTGGTGACCCACCATTGTGCCTGGTTTTAATCAGCAGAATTAGACAGTTTAGAATGTTTTCCCCAAACAGTTGGAAATCTGGGCAGGTTGTCCATGGAAGGCAGTGTCCCACAGCAGGGGGTTCAGAACACAGAGGGATGATCATTGCCAACATCTACAACTCTCCCGCAGGGAATTCTCAGCCTGGCTTGCATACCTCTGGTGACAGGGAACCCACTGTCCTACAAAGTTGCTTCTTCCATATTTCAGCAGCTCTAACGTCTAGAAAGTCCTTCACGGAGAACTGAAATCTGCTTTCTGGGAAATCCCCATGCCCCAGAAGAGATCTCTGGTGTCTTCCTAGGAGAGGGGTCTGTAAGAGCCAAGGTCGGCTTCCCACCTTGAGGCACACAGAGCCGCTGACCTGCCCGAGGCCACATAGGCCAGACCCAGGCCCTGGGTAAATGTCACAGCGGGTCTCTCCCTCCCTTCTCCTGGGGCAGAACCTCTTCGACAGCATCAAGAGCGAGCCCTTCTCCATCCCCGAGGACGATGGAAATGACCTCACCCACACCTTCTTCAAACCCGACCGCGAGGGCTGGCTGCTCAAACTGGGTGAGACACACACTCCTGCACTCGGGGGCACATGCACTGACGTGCCTACACACTCGTGCAACACGCTGACACACGCACCCGTTTGACTCGAAGCCTCGGGAGGTGGAGCTGAGCACCTCCTGAGCCCCAGGGCAGCAGTCACCTTGTCCGAACCCTCCCTCCGTCTGTCCTGGGGATGAGGGGACAGTGGGGGAGGGAACAATGAGCAGGAAGGGAGACGGAAAGCTGACAGATTCATAGATAAGCCCTTCAACCGCACATCTTTCTTCCTGAAGTGATTCTGAGGAAGCCCAGGCCCAGTGAGGTTAAAGGACCAGCCCAAAGCCACATAGCCAGCCAGTGGCAGAATTTGGTGGGCAGAAGAAAGACGGGGGGAGGGAGTGTGAGAGGATGTGGCTTGGGGAACCTCTCCTCAACAGGACTGGGGGCAGGGAGGGCCTTGGGCCTGCAGAGGGGAGCTGTGGTGGGTGCCATGGCAGCAGCTGCTGCAAGTTCTAGCAGCGGAACTGTAGGACCTGGCCATCTGAGCCTGCCACCCCCACACATGCTGGGCACCTCTGGGCAAGGTCAGCCAGCCAGGCACAGAGGCTTTCTAAGTCAAGGGAGGACAGACGCCGTATGTGGGAGCAGGGCCCTGGCCTGAGGGCCCATCCAGACCCTCCATCTCTCCAGGCCCACCTCCCAGTCCATCCGCCTGCAGACTGCAACCTCCTTTTCTTGCCCAGCTGACAGTTTTCAGCCCCAGGGCAGCTCTAAGTCACAGATCCCAGCTCCTCCATCCATCCTTGGCCTCAGTTGCCATAGCTGTGGAATGGTAACAGTCATCCTTGGGAGGATTAAACATGTGGGTAAATGACCATACACCTGGGCTCTGGGGCTCAGACACTGGGGTTCAATTCCCAGCTCTGCTGCCAGACCTTGAGCAGATGATGTATCCTCTCTGCCCTGCGGTCTCCTCATCTGTAAAACAGGGTTAATAATGGTCCGCTCCTCATAGGCAGTCATAGGGATTAATAAGTGAATGTTTGTTGAATCCTCTAGAACATTGCCTGGCAAGTGAAAGATGAAAGGCTTAGCATAGCACCAGGCAGGGAGCAGGCCAAGAGATGAACAGAGTGGTGGGGACAGGAGGAAAGTGCAGGAATGGCCAGCATGCCCCTGGGGCCAGACTAGAGAGGAGCTCTGGGGCAGCCTGGAGGTGATGGAACCCCTCAGGTTTTAAGTGGGGGAGAGATAGATGAGGGGGAGGTGTGGCAAGCTAGGGGTTAGGGGGCCAGGGTGGGGGCCCAGAGGTGGGCATCGGAGGCCCTGCTCTTCCGTGGAGAGAAGTGCTGGAGCCCAGGGCAGAGGAGGGCTCACTAGCTCCATCGCTGGCTCTTGCAGGCGGCCGCGTGAAGACCTGGAAGCGACGCTGGTTCATCCTGACGGACAGCTGCCTCTACTACTTCGAGTTCACCACTGTGAGCTTCACGCTACCCTGTCCCTCCCCTCAGACCCTTTCCAGATTCTCACTAAGCAGTCCATTGTAGAGCTGGGGCCTCTTTGAGATCATTCGGTCCTCCCCCATACCCATCTTACTGAGCGGGGAAACAGCTACAAAGAGGGGAAGGGGCTGGGCCAAGGTGCAAGGCAGAGCTGGGGCTTAAAGTCAGGCCTCCTAACTCCCAGCCAGGGCTCTTCCCACGCTGCTCCCCTGCCCTCTCCAGGGCTGGTCAGAGTCTGGGGAAGATGGGCACACTCCTCTTTGGGGTCTGGGGTGCCGCCGAGTTCAGACAGAGGAGGCTAGCAGGCTATAGTCCATAGGGTCACAAAGAGTTAAAGGCGACTTCGTGACTAAACAACAACAAAACTTCCAAGTTCACTCCCTGCCCTTGACTCCAGACTCCCTTTGCTGATCCTGATCTTCCTTCTTATTCTCCTGCAGGACAAGGAGCCCCGGGGAATCATACCCCTTGAGAATCTCTCAGTGCAGAAGGTGGATGACCCCAAGAAGCCAGTAGGTGTCAGCGAGGTGGCCTCAGGCCAGAGCAGCTGTAGGAATTTCCAAAACAGAGTGCAGGCTGGGCTGGGCTCTCAGGAGGTGAGGCCATGCCTGTGACACCTCCCAGCAGCTCAGGCTTGCCTCAGCCTCCCTCTTAGGGACGGGGATCCTGGCATCAAGAGGGCCTGGCCACACTGTCTCTCAGAGCCTGGCCCCTGATACTGGCTCTGGGACCTTCAATAAGTCTCTGCTCCTTTCTGAGCCTCCATTTTCCCATCTGTCAACTGCGGATTTTAAGAGGAATCATGGATTTAAGTCAAGTCAGGCACATAGTAAATTTTCAACATGAGGAGCCATAGCCCCTGCCCGTTTTCTTCTCACAGGAAGGCCTGGCAGTCAGGTGTATCCTGCTGCTCTTCTAGATGCTGGTCTTGCCCAAGTGTCTAGGCCTCTCCAAGCCTCCCCGAGAGCCCACAAGCTGCCCTTTCCTCCCACCCCTGCCCTGCCCTCACCTGGCCACTTGCCCACAGTTCTGCCTGGAGCTCTGCAACCCCAGCTGCCGGGGCCAGAAGATCAAGGCCTGCAAGACTGATGGCGACGGAAAAGTGGTGGAGGGCAAGCATGAGTCTTACCGGATCTCAGCCTCCAGCGCCGAGGAGCGGGACCAATGGATCGAAGCTATTCGGTAACGGGTGGCTGGGCTGGTGGGGAGGGGTCTCTGGTCACCTTCCAGAAGCCCCTGCTCCTCTCAGGGTCCTGTTTCCTTGTCCGTAAAGAGGGCTAACTCCAGAATTTCCCTCCTGTTTCTGGCATGCAAATCCCTTCCACCATGTTCTGTGGGCATCCTCTCTGGCCCAGAACACAGAGGAGCAAGGCACTGAATTCATGGGGATGGTGGAGGATCATGGGAGATGTTACGAGTAAAGCTCTTTGCCCGGCGCCTGTTAGCATCAGGATCCTAAGTGGTCCTGGAAAGACCTGGTGTAGGTGGGGAGGAGGACTTTCTAGGTGGAAGGAGCAATGCAGACCAAAACAAAAGGGCAGGTCGGGCATAGGGATGCCTGGACATCTTCCTGGATAGCTGGTGCTGGGCAGTGTGGGACTGGGCAATGCCGGGCAGTGCAGGGGGTAGGGCTATGCGGGGACCAGGCAGCTTGGGAGCTGAGCAGTGGGAAATGAGGCTGCAGAGGATGGCGAGGCCTTGGTGGCCATGGCAGAGAGCTCAGGTTTCTCCTGAGTGTGCTGGAGAGCCACAGACAGGTGTGGCCAGCTGAGAAAGACCACTGTGCAGGGGCTGGAATGTGACAGGTGTGATGGGCAGTGGAGGGACAGGAGGAGGGGCAGGATAACACCTTGACTCTGAGTCCATGGGGGGATACCAGTGGGGGTGACTGAGGAAGACATGGAAGTGGTCAATGGGCCGGGGACAATGTATGTCCCAGAGACTTGTAGGGTCTTTTCCCTCCGACCTTGCAGCAGCCCTGTGAGCCTGCCAGGCCAAACCCACTCTCATCTTCATTTTACAGATGAGGACTGAGGTCCAGAGAGGGAAAGGACCTGCCCAGGGCCACACAGCCAGAGAGGGGCAGAGCTAGGACTGGCAAGCAGGTCTGCTGGTTCCACCTGGGCTCTTGTCACCTCCTTCTGAGTCTGACAGGGCCTGGGGAGGTGTCCAAAGATATGTTGGGGCAGAATTCCGGAGGCTCTCAGGCCTGTCTGTGTCATACCCTGGCTCGGTCCTTGGTGGGGTCATCAGGCTTTTCCCCTGCAGTGGGGCAGGCCAAGCACACCCTGGGAGAAGCATATCCTTATTACAAGCCCTGGGAGATGAGACCCCTTTGCCAGCCCATTCAGCCCTGAAACCTTTTCCCTACCCTCACTCCAGAGCCAGCATCACTCGTGTCCCCTTCTATGACCTGGTCTCTGCTCGGAAGAAGAAGATCGCCAGCAAGCAGTGAGCTTCCTTGGAGGTGGTGCCTGGTGTCCTGCGAAGCCCATGACCTGTGGTACCTGGAGACCCACTCCCACCCCAGGGCCTGCAGACATCCTCCCTCAACCCCCTTCACTTTGACCTGACAGCGGGGGGCAAGGGTGGGGGAGGCAGGGCTCAAGAGCCGGGGTGGGTGGGAACCACCAAGGTCTCAGAGCCAGATCATGAGGCTGCTGGCCCTGGGCATCCAGGAAAGGCCCCACCCCTGCCCCAAGTCCACTACAGGAAGGGGTAAGGAAAGCGGCCACAGCCTGGCACCCTGCCCTCTCTCTGGGCCTCAGTTTCCTCTTTTGTTAGAAGTCTCCTTGCCCTCTGAAATGCCATCAGCCTTCAAAGCAGGAGGGGCCTGCGTGCTTCCTACCCTCCACCATGGCGACGCCTCCTCCTTCTGCTCAGGGGGTTCTCAGCCCGCCCCTCCCCATCCTCAGTGGGAGCTTGGCCCTCCCTGCTCAAGGGACACAGGAGACACATCTCAGATCCATGGACATGACCTCTGGGAGACCCAAGAGCACTGGACTAGGAGCCTGGACATCACAGTCTCAGTCCTAGCTCCGTCTCAACTTGCTGTGTGCCCTCGGCGGAGTCACATTCCTTCTCTGGTTCCTGGAAAACTGTGGTGCTTGGATAGGAATGTGCCTATCCTTCTGGCTCTGGCTGTGTGCACTCTACCCCTCAACCTGCCAGCAATGACACCTCTCAGACTGCTTCCTGTCCGTGGAAGGACAGGATTGTGCCGGGTCTCCCAAGGAGCTTCTGGCTGGAGATGTCTACACCTGTTTACTGAGCTGGAAGGGGCTCTGGACTGAAGACTGCTGAGAGGCGGAGAGCAGAGTGGGCCCATCCTCAAGGATGTTCATTTCAGAGAAGGGACAGGTGGGACTCCTCAAGCAAATGGCAGAGAGCATCTCAAACAGACGTACTCAAGCAGAAATGGTGGTACAACCAAGAAGCCAAGAAGAGAGCTTTGTGATCTGTGGTTACCAGGAGGGCTGCCTGGAGGCAGCAACCATGCCATGAGTGATGTACACCCTTGTAGCAGAGTCTCTGCTACAGTTTCCCTGCTGGACCACTGCCCAGGGCTCCTGAGGTGATGAGCAGCTGCCCCAGAAGGGTCCTAGCATTCTGAGACTCTCTGGCACAACACCATCAAGAATGAAGCTGGCTTCACTACCCACAGGCAGGCAGTTCCGTCTCCAGGGAGGCCCCAGCCTGGAGGAGCATTCCACAGACAGGTTTCCTCTCAGTAGCATGACTTACCCTGCCACTCAGGCCCTGGGGGAGTCCCTAGAGGGAAGTTCCTGGCAGGAAAACAGGAGATGGGGTTACCTCTGCTCGACTGTCAGCCCGCGTAGGTGAGCCGGACAAGGTGAATTCCCCCAGGGAGGGGAGGCAACTTCTCTTCCCCCACCTCACAACACACACACATGCACACTTTCTGTGGGGTCAGGACAGAGTAGCTGCCTTGCAAGTGGGGAGGCCACTGTCTCTGGAGGTGTGTAAGCACCTCGTAATGATACTGCACTGAGGAGGATCTGTTTGGGTGTGACAAGAAGAAGATTTATAGGACATTTGAGGTCTTCCACAGGCCCCATGGCAGCATGGGAGCTGAGTGCCAAATCTGCTGCCTTTTTTGGCCCCTGAAGGGGCAGCCAGGGATCATGGGCTCTGAGGTCCTCTCCTGCCACTGACTGTGCAATCTTAGTCCACTCTCTTCTCCCTCTGGTCCTCGGGTTCCTCCCATGTCACTGAGAGGGTGGAATGAGGGATTTTTTGGGCATGAGTGGCTGTTCTCGGAATCACTCAGAATAGAGAATAAAGCTCATGAGTCAACTCGTGGGTGGGGCTCTGTCCTCTCCGTGACCACATCTGCCATCCTGTAGGCCAATGAGGACCCTTCACACTCATCCCTTTCCCAGCTGGAGAGCAGGAGGGTCAGATGGAGAAGAGTGGACTCTCAGCAGACCCTGGACCCTCATCCTCTGGCCACTGGGGGCTGCCACCTGGACAGAAATCTCCAGGGGCTAAATTTGAAGCAAGGGTCCCTCTGAGCAGGGGCAAGAGTGCACTGGTTCTGCCAAGGCCAGGGGAAAGCAAAAGAACTTCCCAATAGCCCGTGCTGTCTGAAGAGAGAAAGGATGCTGCTCAGGGGATAAGTAGTGAGTTCCCTGTCCGATAAGGGATACAAGTACAGATTGGATACAATGATCACTTGGGGAGTCACAGAGGGTCTTGAATTTGTTACTCTTCATTCATATTTTCCACACTCTTTATTAAGTGCCTTGTTTCAAGCACTGGTAGAACAAGACAAAAGCCATGCCTGCATGGGACTGACGTTCTGGTGGTCCTGAGTTCTAGGCAGCCCCTTCAGATGTGTAGGGCACTGAGATGGTCCCCACACCTTAATCCAGCCCCTTGTCTGAAATGCCACCATTGAGTCACTCCTTGAAGACCTTAAGGCGTTGAATTGATCAACTTTCATTCGGCCCAGGTTTTTGAAGCACCTACTATGTGCCAGGCTCCACACACAGAACCAAGGATCCAAAGATGATCAAGGCAAAGCCCTTGCCCTCCAAAGGAACTCGAGTCTAGTGGGGAAAGACAGCCCATTTCAACTCATGCTGTTACACAGAGTGGAGCACAATGGGCCAGTGGAGGGCTGAGCTGGGCAGAGAGGCAATCCTGGGGACTTCTCGAAGGAGCCATACTTGAGTTTTGGCAGCCAGGTAGGAGAAAAGACACGCACCTGATACTGCAGGGAGCTCACTTCAAGTCTGCCCCTCCCCATCACACACATCCTGACTGCGAACTCCTCACAGGCCAGACTGCCACTCCTCGGTGCCTGGCACACAGGATGTACGATAATTTTTTGACTGAAGTCAACTGAAAAGACTCTCTGGGCCTCAGCATTAACTAGCACAAATATCTAGAGGCGCAGGGAACTGTGGGAACAGTGAAGCGACTAGGTGGGGGCGTGGCTAGGGAGGTGGGCGGGGCCACATCGCAATCTGGTCCAGCTCTGCCTTGCTGGCCTAGGACTCCCCAGCTCCGCTGGCTTCTGCCCACCTTCCTGTCCTTCTGACACTCCTCGCTCTGGGCAGCAGGGGGCTCCCACCACTCGTGGATGAGAGGTTCCACGACGCAGCCAGAGGGGAGCTGAACTGGCTGCCCCGTGGAGGGATGAGGCCTCGGCCCAGAGTAGAGCCTTAACGTCAGCCTCATGGAGAAGGATGCGCCCGGTCAACTAGGACCTGTGGGCTCCAGCAGCCCTAAGCACCTGAGGGCACAGATGCTCATCAGCTGCCCCGCTACCTTCACGTGGGGCACAGTCACCCCTTCTAAGCCTAGGAGTCGGGATACCCTGTCTCTCTGGCTTTCTGGTTGTGTGATCGTGAACTAGTAGCTTGCCCTCTCTACTACTTACTTCCTCTCTAGGAAGATGTGATCTTTCTTCCTGCAGGGTCCAGATAGGTGAGTTTCTGGACATAAAAGTTTAACGGGGACTTCCTTATAAGTCTCAGACACGGGTACCAGGTGGCCCCTGCCCTGAGATGAATTGAGACTGGTGTGTGGGGCAGGGGGGTTGGGTGGCAAGTGAGAAGGTGCCACAAAAGCCCCTTACTGTAATAGGTCACAGGGGGCAGTAGTGAGGCCATCCGGAGGACATGGGTTCAAAGCCCAACTCTACCCTGTGTCTTAAGCAAGTTTCCTAGGCATTCAGAGCCTCAGATTTCCCATCTATAAAATGAAAATAATAGAAATACTTAGAACAGTGTTGAATACCTACTCAGGGTTAAGTGCCATTATTATTATTATCACTTAAAGGCAAAATATACATGCTTTGATGAAGATACAAAACAGGCTAGACCATTGGAGGAGGAAAGATTCATGCAGGGGTTGAGGGACTGGTAGATCTGGGAAAGCTTCTTGGAAGAGATGCCCATGAAAGATAAAATAGCTGGAGGCCTGGCTCTTCTAGCCAGGAGGAGCCAAAACAAGGATGTTTGATAAAGCTATGTATTTCTGGGACTCCCTTGAGTGTCCCAGAACAAGACCCCAAAGCAAGAAGGTGAAAAGTTGAGTGGGGGCTGAGCTGTGTGCCCCAGGCTGTAGTCCCTTGTGTCTCCAAGGCTATTTTGCCCTTTGTCATGAAACTCTAACTGGGGATCCAGTAACATGGCTGCTGACTGAGGCCATCACAGAAAGAGAGAGAACAAGCTTGGCACAGGATGGCCTGAGGTGGAGTAGGAGTGGGTAAGAAGGACCCCTGCCCAGTGCCTGGAAGCATAGAGCTGGTCTTGGGGCCCTGTGCCCAGATGCCTGGGGCCAGGAAATGAGGAGGGGGCGGACAGCCAGGAGTCGAGTGGCAGGTGTGAGAGACCTGGAGAAATTGATTTATTAGAGACTATGTGGAGCTAAATATGTTTGCCAGCTCAGCGATGACTCAGGCATTCCCCAGGGGTCCACAAAGTGTGAGCATCAAGGAATCAAAGTCAGGCCTCCTCCCACCCCGGCTCTGCCAGCCTGGAGCCTGTCCTTTGTAATGGAAGGACCACCCAGAGTGCCCTGAGAGCAGGGTCCTGTGGGGGGGTGGGGGCAGCAGAGACCTTGCCCCTCCAGCCAGCATCCCCTGCCTGCCCCCTTACCAGCCAGACTTCTCCAGAATGGCTGAAGAATGAAGCTTCAGAGTGGACATATCTGGGTCTAAGTCCTGGCCTGGCCCCAAATTGCTGCGTGATCTTAGACAAATGAGACCCTCTCTGGTCCTGCGTTCACCAGGGAGGACAGATCCCCACCAAGTCAGGGCCCTTCCTCTGTCTTCATGTCTGACAGTGTCATTCCTAGCCAATTTGGCTTCTTTCAGACAGCTGTGAACACAGCCGCCTCTGCCTAAAATCTACCAACTTCCCTCCAGGAGACAAGCCAGATTCCACAGGGCCTTATTTCCAGAGAACTTGCTCTTCCGGTGCCGGGTTCCTGGCTGGTGCTGGGCTCTGGGAGAAACAAGAATGAATCAGAGTCAGAGGCTGGAGGCGGGGCAGACAAAAGAGGGAAGATTGATCTCCTCGTGGGGCAAAGGGCTGGGGGGCTGCAGTAAGGGGGTAAAAAGGGGACCTGGGAGGACCAAAGGAAGATGGGCTCTCAGGGAAAAAGAAAGGCAGTTGAGGGGGCACTGCAGGGACTGCTGAGGGAAAGGCGTGGATCCCCTGCCCAGCAGTGAGCATGGATGGGGCAGACCAGGTGCAGTGAACTGTTCACCCAGCATGGAGGGGCCTGGAACCCCAGCACTAGGGAGCCAAACAGAAGCGGGAATGAGACTGGCCAAGGAGCTGTTAGCACCAGGGGCTGGGGAAGGGGTCACGGCAGGAGACAGGGGAGCTAGAGGTTGTTTCCAGGTGGTCCCTCTGGCTGCTGGTAGGGACGGATTAAGGAGGTACATGAAGGCAGGGGCATGGGATGCTGGGGGACATGAATAAGGGACAGCATGGAACCAAGACCATCTGACCTGAGACCTATGCAGATTTTAGTCATCAAATTACCAACCAAAATGGGCCCCTTCTGAGAGTGCTAGGATGCGAAATGAAAGGGGATGCTGGGACAACAAGAGCAAATGAGGACTGTCCCAGGCTTCTAAGACATATGATCACCCTGGATACTGAACATATCTACTAGGGACCAGCAAAGAACTGGGGACATGCTAGGTGGACCCATGGGCTGGAAGGGACGTGACCCAGGGTTGCTTAATCATGGACAAGCAAAAGCAGCTGTTTTATCTAAAGCAGATGGGGCTCTACCACCACCTAATTCC